TCTCCAATAACCATCCTGATGTCACTGTCGTCGTTACTATTTTGGAAAACTTTCGGAGACGTTCCGATTTGGCTGTCACACTTTTTCGTAACGTTGGAAACTCACGCACGCGCCCTCATGCGTCGCTCACCTCCCTATGCACGGGCCTCACGCGTGTGGCAGCTCGTCTAGCGGCCGATTCCAACATTTTTTCCGCCGATGAACTCGCCTATCTGCACCCGTTCCATATCCGACCTCAGTTTTACTTCTAACTTACGAAAAATGGTGTTTCAGTCCAAACAATCTTGATTTTAGTCAGTTTCTTTTTTGTTTCCCAATCCATGGGAAACACTGATTATGTGTTCCAATGATTCGTTTACCAAAGTTCTACTTATCCCATGTAAAAGACTAATCGGCTCATCCAACTGCAACATATGGGCTGGTGTTGTTAAGATATGGTTTCACGACCAGGGATATCAAGATCACCTAGCCATAAAAATGGATGTTGTTCCCGCCACTAAACTTGCTAAATGGAAGAAAATCGATGCATCTTTGTGCATTGTGCTATGATTTTCCATAACACCTAATCTCTAAGTGCAGTACCAAGCCTTTTCCACTTGCTATGAGGTTTGGTAAAGTGCTAAGAAAGTAGTCTCCAAAGATGTTCATTGTCTATATAGTGTCATCCTTAAACTCAACACTCTGAAGTGGGAGAATATGGATATGGACATGCAAACCTATCTGAGTAAGCTTGATACTTTGAAATCAAATTACGTCACCCTTTTTCCTTACGAAGAATATGCAACAACTCATGCTGAACAACAAAGTAAAATTTTCATGATCATGGCACTTATCGAACTACCATTAGAACTCGAATCGATTCGTAACCAGATTTTATCAAGTACTACTGTTCCTAACTATGAATGCGGATGGTGAACAACTATTGCGCTTGGCTACACCTCATGCTTTTGGCCCGATCTCCCCTCCATTTATTACTGATCTGACACTAGGTGACACTGTTGCCCTTGCATCTCTAGCCAACAATCAAAATCGCTTTCAAGGAGGGTCATCCAACTCCAGACCTTGTCCCAAATATGACCATTGTAACCAGATTAGGCATACTATTGACCGTTTGTGGGAGTTGCATGGCAGACCTCTACACCAGGTAAAAGCAGCTTAAATCGACCATCTAGACACTCTACGAAATTCACATTCTCTTCAAAACTCTACACCAAGCTACGAGGATTTTCTCAGATGGTGTCAAACTAATTAGAACTCTGGTTCCATAACTTCGATTTCCCACACTAGTAGTTCATTTGTTTGCTTCTCTCAATCATCTTCTCTTGGTCCTTGGGTCTCGATTCTGGCGCGTCTGATCGTGTTACCAGTAATAAAGGTTTTTTTTTATCCCCTCTCTACCTCTGGTTTATTACCTAGTATAACTATCGTAAATGGTTCTCAAACTCGATTTTAAGGGATTGACACTATTCAAATTCTACCTTCTCTATGTGTTACTTATGTTCAATACGTATCTAATTGTCAATTTAATTTATTGTCAGTCATTTGTTTGACTTGGTCCCTTAATCGTTCTATCACTTTTACTACCAGTGATGTTACCTTGCAGGATCAAACTTTGGGACAGACGATTGGCGTCAGATGTGAGTCTCATGGCATTTACTACTTCTCTATGTCTTCTACCACGCCCTCTACCACATATTATCCATTCACTATACATGCACAGTTAGGTCATCCAGGTCTTCCCAAGCTACAAAACTTGGTGCCCAGTTTATCTAAATTATCGATTTTACATTGTGAGTCTTATCAGTTGGGGAAACATTCTCGTAGTCACTTTGTCGATCGAGTTAATAAATGGGTTGTGTTTGATTTAGTTCACTCCGATGTTTGGGGTCCCTCGCGTACTGTTGTACTTTTGAGTCTAGGTATTTTGTAACATTTATTGATGATTTTTTAATGTTGCACGCAACTATTTTTATTGAAGAACAAATCTGAATTATTTTTTATTTTGAACATTTTTACCGGTAAATAAGAACCCAATTTGTTTTTTCTATTCGTACCCTAAGAAGTGACAATGCACATGAATATTCATCCCAACAATTTCAAACTTTTATGTCATCCAATGGTATTCTGCACCAAACATCATGCCCTCACACACCTCAACAAAACGGGGTAGCCGAACGTAAAAATCGGCATCTGGTAGAAACCACTCAGGCCCTACTTCTTCATGGTAATGTTCCTATCCAGTTTTGGGGTGATGATGCGCTCACGACACGTTACCTTATAAATCGAATGTCCTCATATTTCCTTAACAATAAAACCCCTCATTCAATTCTGTTTCCAAACTCTCCCCTTCACCCAATTCCTCATCGAGTCTTCGGTCAACATGTTTTGTACCCAATCTCTCATTGGAATTGATAAACTATTAACTCGACCACTAAAGTGTGTGTTTTTAGGTTTATCATCAATCCCATAAGAGTTGTCGTTGTTATTCACGTACTCTACAATGATACCTCGTATCAACTGATGTTACCTTCTTTGAGTTTATTCCATATGTCGAGTCCAGTCAAGTAACTCTGGAACCCCTTCAAGAAAGTACTCCCAAACATCCTTTGGAAGTCCCATCTTCCATTATTGCCCATCATTATAAGGAACCTGACCCACTAAATACTCTTATAGTTGACCCTCACTTCTTATTCACTTTAAACATATCAACATCACCAACCAACGTCTGTCGTACCTATCCCTGAGGTCATACCTGCCCCTGAGGTCATTGCAGACTATCCTCCGATGCCTTTGCCACCACTGGATCTGATCCTACAACCCGAGTCCGATCTTTTGATTACCCTTTGAAAAGGTATACATCAAACACGAAATCATTCTCCACATTATATTGATTTATGTTATCATTGTCTTTCCCTTTTGCATTATACTTGTTTGTCTTCTGTTTCTATTCCTAAAAATCCAGGTGAAACATTATCTCACCCTGAGTGGAAACAAGCAATGATTGATGAAATGTCAGCTATTCAAAGTAGTGGTACTTGAGAACTAATTCTTCTACCCTATGGGAAATCTTTAGCAGGTTGTCATTGGCTTTATACAATGAATGTTGGACCAGATGGTAATATCGATCATTTTAAAGCTCGCTTGGTAGCCAAAAGATACACTTATATTTTTGGGTTGAATTATAGTGATACCTTCTCGCCTATAGCCAAGATTGAACCTGCCATACTTCTTATAGCCATTGTAACCAGTCGACATTAGCCTCTTCATCAAGTTGACATCAAAAATGCCTTTTTACACGGTGATATTGAAAAGGAAGTATATATGGAGCAAGCACTTGGGTTTGTTGCTTAGAAGGAGTCATCATATATGGTTTGTAGGTTACACAAGTCTCTTTATGGTCTTAAGAAATCTTCGAGAGCTTGGTTTGACAGATTTAACATTGTAGTACAATAATTTGGTATGGTATGTAGTGAAGCTGACCATTCTATTTTTTATCGTCACTCATCCCAAAAGTGTATTTATCTTATTGTATATGTAGATGATATTGTCATAACTAGTAGTGATCAGTAGGGAATACTCCAGGTGAAACAACATCTCTCGAATCAATTTCAGACAAAAGATATTGGTAAACTCCGCTACTTATTGGAAATTGAGGCGACTCAGTCTAAAGATGATTTACTGATTTGCCAACGAGAATATGCTATGGATATTTTAGAAGAAATATGGTTGTTGAATGCTAAACCAACTGATACTCATATGGATCAAAATGTCAAACTACTACTTAATCAAAGGAACCTCTATCTGACTCATGAAGATATATGAGATTTGTTGGAAAGTTAAATCATCTCACAATCACTTGTGTAGACATTTCTTTTGCAGTCAGTGTGGTAAGTAAGTTCTTAAAATTCCCCTTGTCAGGAGCACATGGAAGTTGCTATCCAGATTCTGAGATACATCAAATGTGCTACAGGAAAAGGTCTTGTGTAAGAACATAAAGGACATACTTAGATAGTTGGATACTCTGATGCTGATTGGGCAGGATCACCTATTGATAGACGATCCACCTCTGGGTATTGTGTACTTGTTAGGTGAAATCTTATATCTTGGAAAAGTAAGAAAATAAAATGTAGTTGCAAGATCAAGTGTCGAGGTAAAGTATAAGACCATGTCATGGCAACATGTGAACTTATTTGGTTAAAACAATTGCTCAATGAATTTAAATTGAAGAAGCAAAACCAATGACACTTATTTGTAATGATCAAGCTGCATTGCACATTGCATATTACTTCAAATCCAGTCTCCCGTGAGAGGACCAAACACATTGAGATATACTGTCACTTTGTCAGAGAGAAGATCGAGTCAGACGACATCCTCACAAACTTTGTCAACCCTAATCATCAATTGACAAATGTGTTTATAAAATCCCTGCGAAGCCTCAGAACTAATTATATATGTAACAAGTTTGGTGCATTTAACTTATATGCTCAAGTTTGAGGGAGAGTGTTGATATTTACATATGTGTATATATAGAAAGAAAATATTCCTTAATATATTCTAGAATATAATAGGATATCTATGTAATTAATATTACAATCTATATTTTTTCTTATATAATTCATCTTCTTGTGTGATATTCGACGCACAACTCAATCTAAATGATTGTTGTCTCGTTTATTTCAATAGATATGATAAATTTCTATTAGTTATTGAAATTTGATATATATATATATATATATATATATATATATATATATATATATATATATATATATATATATATATATATATATATATATATATATATATATATATATATATATATATATATATATATATATATATAATAAAACAGATAAAACAATTTTTTTTCCCTTCAAGTTTTCAAAAGAATTTTCAACTGCTAACGTCGAGGAAGAGCGCCGAATAGAAGTCTGGTATAATAAACACTCTACCGTATCATCGCAATTCGGCGTTGTCTTCTAACCCCGTGAACTGTGGAAATGAAACCAAGAGTTCCGCACAGGTTCCCTTTACTCTCTTACCATACTCGTTACCTTAACCACACTAAACCCTTCACTTCCTTCGCTAAAAAGCTTCCAACACCTCAATCTCGCCCCTCTATCAACGCTGGAAATGGAAGCTCTCGAGGTAGTTCACTCAATTGCTTCTCCACTTAACATTCATCGTTTTCTTCAACTCTTCATTGACTTAACCTGAATCAATTCAATGTTAACCAATATTTAAGTCTATAAATTGGACTAGGTTTTCAATGGAATATATTGTGATTGTTAGTATATTTTGTGTGTGTAAATGTTATCAATTTTGAGTTGAGATTGAAAAGCTCTTTTTGAGGTTATTGCTATTAAATTGTGCAGGGGATTCTTCTTATCTTCTACCTGGAGCAACAGTTGCTACCATACTTATGCTTGGCGCTCTCCATGCCAGACGAATGTATGATGACAAGAAGGTAACCTTTTAGGGTTGCTGTTCTCCATTTACCTGCATAAACAGCTTCACATGCTACTTGTGTTCAATTTCATCTTATGTGATACTGATTAATCACTACCATTTGGCCAATCATCGGTGTTAACTATTTATTATTCAATTTCTTATACTTCTGTTATTTGGCGATATGCATATTAAAAGAAACAAAAATGCACACTATGAGGCTTTCTCTTTATAATCTTGATAAAAAAAAGTTGTTTACCCTTGTGGCAGACTGAGGAGATGCGAGAAAAAGGAATTGAGGTGGAGTTCCAACCGGATGTGAAGGTATAAATTTTACTTTCCCTGGAATTATTTCTCCTCTCTAAAACGGGAAAGGAAGAATCTATGTTTTTTTTTTTGTGTTGTCTCTGCACGTACACTTATTGAGACCTGTGTGTTATGGACATGTCAACACTAGGCTTCATTTTTGAGATTACTGCCTCTGCGATCAATTTCTAGATGTTGGGGACAGTTGACTAGCTTGGTAAGAAGTCTACTCAATCTTTCAACATGATTTTTTATTATATATCCATTAAGCTGTTTTATTTTTGTTGGCAATTGTGTTCCCCTTGTATTGCAGCTGGTAATAAGAATACATAGACCATACTGGAAGTAAATTAATATAACTATAAAAACCTACTGAAGAAATACAAATGGACTTTTAATGTATTATTTTCCCTAAATTTTCAGGAAATACCAGTGTGGTTAAGGCCGCACGTATATAGAGCTTGGGCTCGGGCATTCCATTCAAGTATTATAGTTTTGCCTTTCTTTTAATGTCTTCTTCATTTCATAGTAATAAGCTCATATAGCATTAAACTGGAAGAATTTGTTCGTGATAAACTATGCTTTAAAATTTTGTCAATGCAATCCTGATTCCTAATAACATATCAGATTTAGAAGAAGCTGCTTTACCTCTGGACAAGTATACATCTTTAAAGGAATTTTTTGTCCGTGCTTTGAAAGAAGGTTCCAGGCCTATCGATGCTGATCCACAATGTCTGGTAACTGGTAACATCTACTTGGCAATCCGAAACATCTTCATTGGTACTATTTTTAGTTGATAATTGGTTTATAACTTGCTTGACCGTATTTATTTCTGCAGATCAGTCCTGTGGATGGTACAATCTTAAGATTTGGAGAGTTGAAAGGAGCGGGGGCAATGATTGAACAAGTGAAAGGGTTTTCTTATCCTGTTTTTTCCCTTCTTGGTGCAAGATCTCTCCTTCCAACGACAGCTGATAGCGATGTGCAAGAGGAGCATAGTGAATCATTAGCAACTACCAAGAAGAGCAAGAAATCATGGTGGAGAGTTTCATTAGCTTCTCCAAAAGTTTGGGACCCAACACTATCTTGGTAATTTGTCGTAGTTCTGATTTTCTTCTGCTGCCAATGTCTTAAATTCATCTGGCTGTGAGCATTTGAGTTGAAATAGACCTGGTTATTAAAGATAATTGTAAATGTTAATCACGCATCTACTGTTATTTTTTTCATCATACATTTGATACAAACTTACTTATATTGTAACATTCAGGTAGATTTTGAACATATGAATTTTGCAAGATTGCTGCCTGCATGTGATAGAAACCAGTGATTTGACCAAACAGGATAATGGGCCTGACGGTACCATAAAAGCTTTGTAATGAGAAAGTTTTTTTATTTTTTTTATTTTTTTTTATAATTTTTAAATTCTTTCATGTCATTTTATAATGAGAAAGTTTTCTTTTTCTTTTATAATTTTTAAATTCTTTCATGTCATATTTTCAGGAAGCCATACTTCTCTTTTCATATAGTTTTTCTTTTTATTTTATAACTACAACGGAAACTTAGTAGTAGTTTTAAGCTTGAAGTTCAAACTACACAAGAAAATTTGTATTTCAGCACTTTTATTGCTCGAACGCTTACATGGTTAAGAGGCCTGCATTTTTTACATTGGTATTTCTTATTTCTGTTACCACAAATGCTACATTTTTACCCGAAGTGCACATTATTGTTTTGCGTTGATATGTGGTCCACTAACACCAATATTTCTGCTAAACATTTCATTGCTGCAGAAGCTAAATGTAATGCTTGACACATCATTAAAATTTTCCATTGCAGCCCAAAGAGAGGCCTTTTTTACTGTGTGATTTACTTAAAGCCTGGAGATTACCATCGGATACATTCCCCAGTTGACTGGAATATTCTTGTTCGCAGACATTTTTCTGGTAAACCATCTAATGTGAATCTTACCAGTCTAACAAATTAGGAGTAACACCTCATGTTAATCTGTTTTAAGTTCTTAGATGAAGACAAGGTGTGTTAATACAAGATTCTCTTGGACTGATGTGTGAACAATTCAAAAGCCCACCCACCTTATGCTGAAATTTGACTTTTTTTCATTAAAAAAAGGGAGGATTGCTGACAGTTAAGATTGAACTCTGAATCACTTGTTTATAATGGCTCTAATGTCATGTCATGAACCAACTATTCAATGAACTTAAGCTGCTTGGTAAAGAGTAAAGACAGGTGAATGATTTTATAATATAGCTAGTAGACCCCTAAAGTAGCCATAAGTAACTTCGCTTTTTCGAAAGGGTTACACAATGCCATGTTTTTGTGTTTTGCAAAGAAATAATTTCAATGCTGTACTTAAGCCAGAGGCTTTTCCATCGGATATGCTAGTTTTTCAGGATGGGCTCTAACAGGTTTGAGTTATAACATAAATCCTTTCTAGAAGGAATTTGGGCAAAACATTCCTTTCCACTCATCATATATGATGATGTCTATCTTTGTTAGTCCTTGAGTTGAAGAAAAATGAATTCTTTAATTGGTTGTGTACTATATTCTGTGTAATGTAGATTGCCAAGTAATTTTTACATGTAGTCATTAGGGACATACCTTCTAAAGAAACAACAAAAATTTCATCACAACTTACTTATATGGCTTCTTCATTTCTTTTTTTTCTTTCTTTCCTTTTCTCCTCTTATGCAACTTCGATGTTTCGTTACCGATGGGTAAAAGTTCATGATTTTGGTTGAAGGTGGATATGTGCTTTATTAATTTCTGCAAATGTAAACTACCTTTTCATTCTGTATATTATGAAATAATTATTGGAACCATAAGGTAAAAAAATAATTGGATAGAGCTGTAGGTTTTCAAGTTTTTGCATATATTGATCATCATGCAGCATACTAGTTAATTTATAATTAGTTTATCATTGTTATAATATCGGTTTGGTTTATCATTTTTGTTGCAGGAAATCTTTATCCTGTGAACGAACGTGCTACAAGAACATTTAGAAACCTTTATATTGAGAACGAGAGGGTAATTTATTTTATTACCATGGGCAATAAGAGAATATTGTAGCTATCTTCTATTTCCATTCCTGTCAAGGCTTCGTGTGTTTAAACATTAAACTCGGGGTTTCTACTTTAATTCCTCCTTACTCTCATTGCTTGAGTTATGCCCAAGTAACTCGTTTATCTACAACTTTACCAAGGAAACTTTTTCCCTTCAAGAATAGAATCCGTCAGCTGAAAAACAACCCCATCCGAGTTTCCCTATTTTTCTCATTTGAATATGTATCTATAGAAATCATAAATTATTATGAGTTAGTTCTAGGTAGAAGTGGCATTTCATATAGATGTACTCAGTACCACATATAAATTCTTGGGGCTTGGGAGTTTTCCTTTTGTGTTATGCCTTGTCTTGATTTTATTTTGGGAGAATTCCCATTGAATACTAGTGGATGAACTTATTCATAAAGAATAACCCATTAACCAAGAGGTGAATCCTGTCATAAAAGGGTTTACCATTCACCATTTTATAATAGAATAAATACCTCAATAGTTAGTAAGTTCTTTTTAAAAAGTTTGTCACTCACCCATCTTACTTAGAACCTTAACCTTTATTTTGTCTTGGATGTTGTCTACTTTTTCAGTTATTAATTGGTTTTATTTCAAAATCGATTAAATTTTTTCACTTAAAAAATTCCCAGGTTGTCCTTGAAGGTGTATGGCAGGAAGGGTTTATGGCACTTGCTGCAGTTGGCGCTACAAATATTGGGTCAATTAAGGTTTGTCCACAGTTCCTCCTCAATGATGTAATAGTATTAGTAGTACTCTAAATACTGGCTTTTTCATTAACGACTTCAGTTTAAACTCAATCATTTTAATGGCAGTTTTAATTACTTAAGTTTAAACTATCATTTTCATGGCAGCTTTTCATTGAGCCGGAACTTCAGACAAATAAGCCAACGAAGAAGTCACTGCATTCAGAGCCTCCTGAAGAACGGGTCTATGATAGTGAAGGTGTTGGTAGAGTACTCAAGAAAGGGGATGAGGTTAGAAGTGTGATATAATTTGTCTTTTAGAAATTATGTGCTTGATTCACTTTTACAGAGATGTATTAAATTTGGTTTCCTTTTTATGGTACTCAAATTACTAGTGTGCTATCAAATAGACTAGTTAAAAACCCACGTGTCCACACTGGATACAATGATATTAATTTACATCGATCAATTGCTAATGATATTCATTTATTTTTTACTTGATTACCAGTTAGGTGCTTTCAACATGGGATCAACTGTTGTGCTTGTTTTTGAAGCTCCAATTTCAAAACTGCTTCGTGAGGGCGATTCATCAGAAGAGTTCAATTTCTCTGTCAAATGTGGGGATAGAATACGGGTTGGCGAGGCTCTAGGGAGATGGCATAGTTCGTGACCATGTTAATTTTTTCTGCCATTCATCATATTTCCCCAGGCTCACGTTTCTAACTTTAATTTATTTTTTGCATTCTAACTTATAGTATTATATTTGAAAATTGGCGCAATATTAATAGTGATACTACATATGCTGTGTTTTTTTTTTTATACTTTGATTGAATATTGCGAACATCAATTTCCACCAATAAGATTTTATCATTTTTCTTTTGGGTAAATGAAAACAATTTCTCTTCTAATAATTGCTTGTTTGCAGTTCTGTTTCCCGACTCGATCCGACACTTCATTTAGTTTTCAATTTTAGATGCATGCTTCAAAGCTGTGCTGATCAATCATTTGATATGACAGGATCATCATATGTCAATGAAAAAATACTGTAGGAAGCAGGAGCATATAACAAAACTTATGGGACTTGTATAGTGTGATATGTGGACTTGAAATTTATCTGAAATTGACCATAAAATAATAAATTCTTTCTGAAAATCTAGTGGAGTGTAAGCCTTAAACTTGAAAATTCTGGTCGGATGCGAATATATAGTAGGTATGAAGGAACTTTCAAGGTATTTACTCCTATTTTGGTTCAATATGCATATGTTTACATTTGAGACATTGTCACATGAGTTTTGAGCCTAACTTGCACGAATGAACCTTTCCATCCCAACATGTACACATCTTCATTCTACAAATGCTTCGACAACACCTTATCACTACTTCTTTTCAAATGGCCCACTAAAATTAAATACCTGTTGCTGTCATGATAAGTTGATTACAGTTCATTTGAAGTGACTTTTGCATAATTTTGCCTTATAATATAACAGGAAAATTCTAAATGAAGAATTGACAAGTTAGTATTTAAATTTTTATTGTAAGAGATGACATTAATGTTAAACAAGGAACCCAAAGGAAATACATTTTTTTTTATATTCACATCAAGAATTTCACATTTAATAAAACAAAAAGAAAATAAGAGTTTAATGTTTCGAGCTTCTGATATGATGTCAAAAAATATAATATACAGAAGTCTATTATTCTATTTTATTTTAGGAAATTCCTTCTTTTTTTTTTATCTTGGCTTTTGTGATATATATATATATATATATATATATATATATATATATATATATATATATATATATATATATATATATATATATATATATATATATATATATATATATATATATATATATATATATATATATATATATATATATATATATATATATATATATATATATATATATATATATATAACGAGTGTCCTTAGGGCATTGGTTAAGAGATTAAAATGGTAAGTTGGACATTATTTAAAAGATTGAAAATACATTTTTTTTTCTAAATATATGTGTATTCAATACTCTGAAAAGAGAAATAATCAGATTTTTTAAAGAATATTGTGTGTATTGAGTGAACTAAATATAACATATTTTTCTTATTTGGAATTCTTAACTAGTGTCCTGAGGGCACTGGTTAGCATGACCATATATATATATATATATATATATATATATATATATATATATATATATATATATATATATATATATATATATATATATATATATATATATATATATATATATATATATATATATATATAAACACTTGACTCTTGTGTTATTAGCATTGCAATTGGAGGTTAACTTAATCTGCACCCCACATTTAACTATCTCTTCAAAGCACATTTAACTATCATGAACGACAAAAATATTTCTTAACAAAGTGAGTCCGGAGAATCTCACTGAGTTTTATAAATTTATGTCTGTTTTCAATTTACACAACATAATTTTGAGGTACAAACAAGACCTTTTATTTCACTCATTCACAAATAACATCGCATGTGGTAAAATTAGGTAGAGACAAGACCTTTAATAGTGATTGATAATATAATTTTTGGCTTATTAAAAAAATCTATAAAAAGTATAACCAACATGATAATCTATTTTCTAATAAGATCTTGATATAGCTCGTAAAGTCATCTCTAAATAAGTTCAATAAGGTCATAGTTTCAAGTTTTCACGTAGGCTCTCCTAGGCTTCTATAATTTAAAATATTAATAAACATGTGATTTTTAGACAATATATCAAATCTAATATGCTACTTAAAAATGAAAAAAGTACCGTGAGCATCCGTAATAAAATTTACCAATAAATAGATATTTAATTATTTGTTTTTTTAAAAGATTTTGATAATACTTATACATACAAGTATTTATATCTGTTAATAATTAAAAAACTACTTAAATATTTTTTAAAATTGTTATTATTTAATAAACGTTTTTCATTAATAGCTGGTAATATCATTTTTTCACTTAAAATCCTAGCTTCATATGATTTTTTTCTGCACGTTTTTCTTGTCTTGTGTCTTCTTCAAAAATTATATACACAATTTTCTATTTGTATCATATAAAAAATTATTAAATTACAATTTATAAAAAAAAATTCACGGGTATCAGTAAATACTTTCGGATATCTCAAAATCAATGGATACCCGTCTGACGAATATCTGCACAAGTATGGAACAAGTACATGTATCATATTTACTAAACGAGACATATGACAGGGGACTAGTACCTGTACCCATGAATACCCATTGATATTATCATTCCTAATACTTACAATAAAAAAGAGCGAATAATATTTTTATTATTATGTCCATAACATGTATGTATTATGTCAGATTTTATTTAATATATCACCCGTAAAATGATATATTGGAACCAAAATTATGGTTGATTGGTGATATGGACTCCTGATGCGGTGGTATAGATCTTCTATACAACAGCGTGGGGTGGACCTGCAAAATTAACACCTAAATACTCAAGTCAATTACAGAGTTCAAAATGAGTGAAGTGAAAATATGAGATAAAAAAATGTACCTTAAGTCTCACGTGTATCAATTATATGCACTGAATGATTTTTATGGGTTTCACATCTGGACTTTACTATTGGGTCTCTCCCTTTGGCCGACTCAAAACATTTGCCCCAAAGGCCCGCTGAGTGTTTTATTAGCCGAGAAGTCTTTTGGAATCGTGACCAACATCTCTTAGAGCCAACTACAAGGAGAAGTGGAAAGGCTATGAGGAAGTTATAGAAATAGTAGGGGAACAAGAGCATTAAATTTTTTTCCATCATTAAGTTGTTTCATCGATTTTCAGGCACATGGCTTTAAGCTCACAGGTTTGGGCGCAATGCTCTTCCCTACGACATTCAAGTGCACTCAAATTAGCTTGTATTTCCAAGATGAGATTTGACCATTGTTTTTTAACTTTACATCTTCCTTTAATTTGATCCGCTGTCCGCTTTATATATATACATATATATATATATATATATATATATGAGGGTTTTTTGGTTCTTAGGGTGAAATTTTTACCATTTTTTAGAGTCAATTTCGCTTTCGTGAGAGCAAATTTCATTTATTTTTAGAAGCCTTTTCTTGAACGTTTGATTTCTTTTGAAACAAAACATTTTCCACTTTGCATTTAACCTTTATTCTCTTCGCCTGTTTTCATCCTCTACAATATCATTCTTACCTTAAGCTCATTTTCTGATTTCCAGTTTTTCTTTTGCTATGACCCATATAAATGATCTCCTTATAAGCATGTCTAGTGATTCCGGGAGTAATGGTTCCCCTCTCTTCGTTAGAACATAAATTCTTTTCTAGTTCTTTTTCGAACCTTTCAGTTATTAGCCATTCTGCTCAAATTATTATTAACGTGTCTGATAGTCATGAATCAGAGAGGTTCTCTAGCGATTCTCTTGATAGAAAAACTTCTCGTGGTGAATATTTCTTCAACGTTTTTCTTTTTTATGATGGTGTTAGAAGTGATTGCACAATAAGTTTTGCACCCACTCCTTTCGTAATTGTCGGAGGTTTAAATCTCCCTGCTTTGTATTCATCGGAGGCGGAGGTTGCTGCTTTGAATATGTAAGAAACTTTCCCCTTCATTAGAACTTATCGGTTCACCTTTAGCTCGGATCCGAGTGAATATTAAGGATCATCTCAAACTTGGAATTTAATCTCCTAGTGTCAATTGACTCAGGCCATCATATATCATTCAAGATGACGAAATACCTCGAAGAAGTACCATTTATGGAGATGGATAATGATACCAGATATAGTGGGTGGATTCTGAAATATTGGGAACCCTATCCACTTTATATAATCTTGCGGGCGTGAGGGAGGCTAACATAGAAGTGAGTTATCCTTCTGATTGGTTGATTCTTCCCATAGAGTCAAGAAAAAGTATTTTTAGCAACTTTAGAGAATGCTCTAGCCCTTTCTACAAGTTCCTGCTTACTCGGATAAATTTGCAACTGCCCTTGACCGAATTTGAAAAGGAGGTGTTAAGGTTCTTAAAGATTTCCTAAAACTTCATCTATCCGTTTAGGCTTGGATAGTGGTGTTTCAACTCTGTGTTGATAACCAGCTTTGGAAGCCCTTTTAACAACTATTTCCGCCCTTTTCCATGGTGCACATTTCTCTGAATAATATATGGGTTCAAAGGTTCATCTCAGTGCGTCAGGACGTTCCACGGTTTAATGCTTACATTGAGAACTGAGATGATTTCTAGGATCGCTTTGTGTCGATAAAATTGTGTACATTGAAAGATCATTCTGTCTTCTGCCAGAATTCTATCGAGCTACCTCTTCCTGTTGGTTTCTCGGAATTACCTCAGAGTAAATGTACAAATAGGTTTCAGAAGTGTTCGGCCTGATCTCATTTTAAATGGGAGCCTCATACGTATTCCATCTCCTTGGATTCTTTTACTCCCGAAGAGATTAAGATGAAGGATGAACTTGATGATTTCTTTGAGGGTCTCGGCTATGAAGAGAGGTTTGGACCTTGCCTAGCAGTTGATTCATACTTGTGCTATTGTCGGAGTGGCCAATAGTCTGGAAAGAAAAAAGATTTTTGATGAGAATAGAGAGTCATCCCATCATTGTCATTATTTTTTTACATGATTTTTTATTTGTATATAAGATGGATTCTTTGAGG